CTTCAGATACACATCAGCTCGAATCAATCTGACTTTTCTAAATAAGCCAAACACTTAAGTGACGGGAGTTGCATAGTCCTTGGCAGAAACATCAGGAAGCAGTGGGATGACTCTGCTCCTAGTATTTTCAACTACATCTGAACCAAATATTAAATTGTCATTTAGCATCAGACTCTTCATTGGTCATTCACAATGAATCCACATTAAATATGGGCATTCCATCAATAACATTGCTGCAAATGCCTAAAAATAGCACAGAAACTAACAACACAGCCCTGTGGAGATCTACTTAAAAGTAAGTCCTGCTTTGATGGGGATTACTCTCAGATACTTAGGAGTAATACAACTAGGAATATGTTCAAAGGAACACAACTGATCTTATTTATGATATCTGTAGGATTGCATCAAAATTCAATATTTTTGAAGTAACCATAATCAAATGAGAAATTGGAGTCTGGTTATAGTGCAACACACAAACCACTATGCCACACTGGCCCTCATTTAGGACACATACACCCCCTCGGTGCGTTTTTGTCTTCTAGGAGAATTGCATGTTTTAGTTATGCAACTGTGTTGTTGTTATTATATCATTATCCATGTATACAATCCCATCAGTATAAGATTTTAATCTTTTAAAAACTGGAGACGGAGGTTTCATCATTGCCAGAGCCTTTGGTGAAATCTGAGATTTCTTTAACTGAATTGAATGTGGGTAATTCACAACCCTTGAGCCAGACCCAACACTGTTGGAAATACCAACCTTCCAATATTTCACTATTAGTTTGTTAATGTATATATCTGCTAACCTGTACTGTATATGTATATATTGATTTGCCAGTTTGGCTGACCTCTTCAGTGTGGGAGGGGTTACAGACATGTGATTGTACTGAGCATGCTCAGACTCAAGACTCCATTTTGTTATCAGTATGTTTTTGGACTTCAATGCTAGCAGTTCACTTTAGACCTTAGTGGAGATGGATTCAGTATGCTTTTGAACTTTAATGAAAGCAGATGTCATTTGGACTTATGCAGGAATGGTTTACTATATGTTTGCTTTGAGAAGCAGAGAGTACAGTTATACAGTTTGGACTTTCATAAGATGTATACTTAATCACTTTGGAGTATGGACTATTGATTAAGAATGATGCCCTGTGTTCTCAACACAGAGAAACTACATTCTATCGATTTACTAAGAAATGTGCCTGTATGGTGAATTAATACAAGATGTTTGTAAGTAAACAATATGCATTACTTTAAAAAGAAGACTTTGTTTTTTGTCTCTGAGTACATATTTTAAACTAAGAGGTTTCAAGGGAGAGTTTATGTTTTGGGCAACTGCAATTTCAACTTCAACTGCAAAGAAACATTTTCAATACTCCGCTAGGCAAGTATATGTTTTTTGTGCAGTGGCATATCTTTGTACCTGGCAATTCAAAGACATGGTTTATCAGTTTAACAGCTGAGTTACCTGTGTGCAATTACATAAATGCTTGTGAACGTCACTTTTTCAAAAGGTTGACTTCTAACAAGGTCATGTCTTTCCTTGACTAGTGGTTTTCAAAAGGTGGCCTCCAGATGTTCATGGAGATTCACATTTGCCAAAAAATTATGATATCATTTTTCTTTTCAAGAAGGTTATGAGTGCCATTTTTTTTCAATAAACACAAAGACAAAACAATTTTTGTGATTTCCACCCTCACCTTCGATATCCAGGATTAATAATGCTGTCTGATTTGAACGCCTCTTCAANTTCAATGTAGGTGTCAAAGGGACAGGGGAAAGGAAGCACAGTGTCAAGATCATAAATAAAGTTCTGGTCTCCACTCGACACATGAAGCAAAATCACATGGTAATCCTGTAAAAGGGGAGAGATTGTGCAGTTTTTCAGTATTAGGATTGGTAATGATAATAACAATCACCAATGTCTTAGCCATGTGTTTTTAATTTGTATTCATATTTTGATATTTGCAAAGGTAGCATGCTGGGCTTGGTTTTAAATGTTGCAATGGTTGACTCCCATCCAAATGATTTTAAAATGACTAGTGTACAATTTTCTTTACATCTGGCTGGATATAACGAAGCAGTGTTTCTAGAAGAACTTTTACACACTCTGGAGAATAAAACTAAATATATATAGTGCAGGCTGAGTTTTGTTCTTTACAGCAAAGATGAGGAATTGCTCACCCTTCAGAAATTTAGGACTGCAGCCCCCATGATCACTTTATCATTGGCTATTCTGTGTAGGGCTTCTGGAGGTGAAGCCTAAAGCAACCAGAACACCAAATACTCCTGTCTTGTTATTATAAAGATTAGAAATTGTAAATGAGTGAAAAATAGGTGGAACAAGGATTACAGAGTTGCTGGGAGTACCGCTTCAAGTCCCCCTAGGGGTGAGAAAA